GGGTCTAAACCGGTTAGTTAACTAAAACTCAAAAATTTGAATATGAAGGTGGCACGTGGCGATGCCGAAAATCATACAACAATCTATCTCCATTCTATCTGATGCTGGTCTTGGAATGGCAATGTTCAGTTTGGGTAAGTCATCTTCGTACTCTTTTTTTTATTCCTTATGAAATCTTTGTTTTTTTTTAAAAGCCATTTGAAAGGGTAAAATCCGATTCATACCATTCGTGTTATTTATTAAGGAAAATTTCTAAATTTTGCATGTTTTTGTTGACATATATATTAACCGATTTACATAATAATAGAATTAAAATTAGGTAGCCCATAAATTTATATGCTGTTTTGTCATTTTGACAAAATTTTAGGAGTGTAAATTAAATTAAAGAAAAAAATATTGGGATGGACCATCCGACATGTGGGACAATGGTGTGAGTGTCTTATTAGATAAATGGTAATGGTGGACGACATGGTCTCGTGTTGTTGATAGTCGTCATGGTCCCCATTTTTTATGGGAGTTTGATTGGCTTTATTGTAAAATATATATTTTATATATTCATCTCATGATTTGTTGAAATTAAATCGGTATGTGACAAATCGTGAAGGGTTGTTCATGGCGTTGCAACCCAAATTAATCGCTTGTGGGAATTCCGTGGCAACGTTTGCGATGGCGGTTAGGTTCCTCACAGGTCCGGCCGTCATGGCAGTTGCCTCTATAGCCATAGGATTACGTGGTGATTTATTACGTGTCGCCATTGTTCAGGTAAATATATTTTTTACTTCAACTTTAATAAAGCGATAAAACATGTAAAAATATACTGATTTATTACAAAAAAAAAAAAATTGGTGTGTTTTTATTAGGCCGCATTGCCTCAAGGAATTGTGCCTTTTGTGTTTGCAAAGGAGTACAATGTTCATCCCGCTATTTTGAGTACCGGGTAAGTAATGGATTTTATGATAGTTAATCCATAAAACTATATTACTATGCTATACTTCTAACACTTAACATTGTGAACCGAATGATTTTGCAGGGTAATATTCGGAATGCTTATAGCGCTTCCGATTACGCTGGTTTACTACATTCTACTCGGTTTATAAGCTTGAGATCACTTCCAAAAAGGATCAAATGTAGAGGGAGATGGAAGAGAAAAACACGAAAGAGTGTTTCAAATTGTGGGTGAAACAAACTAAAAAGTTTAGAGTTACAAGTAAAAAATAGGGAGTAGCATGATTTAAGGATGTTGATGCCTACATTACAAGCCAAGAAACCCTTTCTTCTCCATATTTTATATATAGAATATTTGAGAGATATATGAATGAGACAATGGGACGCAGATAAGGAGGAGCAAAACATGGGGAAACGAGACAAATGATCAAATAAAAGATTGGAGGAAGAAGACAACGTATTGTTTTTGTAACTTTTTTTTTTTCTTACACAAGTCAATTTCGTTTTTATGTGTTCTTTGATTAGATTTTGGGTAACTTATTAATTTGATTACTGTGTAGTTTTGTTTTTTAGTGAAGAAAAGTGTGGGTTTGAATCTTCATTAGTTTCCAGTTTTCATGTAGCAAATAAACGCTTTAAAAGGTCGAACACATATTCTTCTTAAGTATTTCTAGTAAAATATGTAATAAAATGGGTGGATTTACTGTCTGTGGCAGTGGAGATAATGGGTTAGGCGCTTTGGCACTGAAAGCATTTCGTGTTATCATTAATTTAAGCTGGTGAGTGATATAATTAGTAGTCCATGTACTGTGTAGGGATGATTAACAATTATT